TCTTATCGATCTCCAACTTCCTGCTACCGCCACACCTCCTCCTCCGGCTCCTCCTCCTCCTCCTTCTCCTTGTCCTCCTGGCAATCCTCCTTTCGCTGCTCCTCCTGCTGCGCCCCTGACACATACATTTGCTGTACTAATAGTGTCTACTATTACTTCAGGATATCAGTTTATTACTATATCATATTGTTTGCTTATTATTGACAAACCCATCTTCATTTGCTGTGAGCCCTGCTCCTTCTGAGCTCTGAGGACATGGCCAATGGCGCCAAGGAAGTCAGCAACAATGGTCAGCGCTCCGATGCAGGCACCACCAAAGGCCGCTGCGGTCGGGATATAGCGGTTCAGGACCTGAGGAAACTCTCATCCTACACCCTAAACCCACTCTCCCAACATGGACGTAAGGTTAGGGTTTAGGGTCTAGGATTAGGCTTCTGGTTTTGGGGACCTTAGGCTTAACGAGGTCGTGGGTTTAGGTAAAGGGGTGCTTAATGCCCCGACGTGTCTTGAGCCTGCAGGGGCGCGTTCCTCCCTGCATCACCCAACATGGAGGTTTTCCAAAAAAGGAGGTACCTTGTTGGTTGGGGGTCCCCATTATAGTGTTTGGGAGTCTATGTTGGGGTCCCCCCATTTTGCAAGCTACCACATCTCTGAATCCCTACCAAACGAAGCTCAGGAGAGAAAAACAAGGGCACCACAACTTTGGAAACGCTTCAAAAAGCCAACAACACCTTTCTAAATCCCATGTAACCCGAGCGTTCCAACATAAAGCTTACAAGGTTTAGGGTTTAGGGTTGAGGGAACCAAGACGCAGCCAGCTTGTTGTAGACTTGTGTTCCTCTCAACATATCTTTGAAACTGACCCTAAACCCTAGACTTGCAGGCGTCTGAGAAAAAGCATGGCCCATGAAATGACGGACCACTCAAAGCAAGGATACGGAGTCAGCGCGATTACGCTAGTCGATTATGTTTTACTATAATGAATATACGATACGATTATTCGATTATTTGACGATATGATGATATCATTGAACAGAACTGTATTGTATTAATCATATAATATGCCACCATCTTAATTTATTGAAGCCTAGCTTAGACCTTGAACTCATGACAAATATCTTATTGGGCTGTATTTGAAAATTGCATGTTGAATTCCTTACTGGGCTTCAGTCTGAAATTGACAATCATACGAGCTATATCGAAGCTTCTAGCATGCCCCTTCATATCCCTTGTAATACTCCTCACATATAATCACCTGTCTAACCCCCCTCAAGGAGCTAAGACCCTAAACCCTAAACCCCAAACCTTAATCCCCAAAACCTAGACCCTAAACCCTCGACCCTAAACCCTAATCCCTAAACCCTAATCCCTAAACCCTAATCCTTAAACCCTAAACCCTAATCCCTAATCCCTAAACCCTCAACCCTAATCCCAAAACCCAAAACCAGAATCCCTAAACCCTAATCCCTAATCCCTAATCCCTAAACCCTAATCCCTATTCCCTAAACCCTAATCCCTCATCCCTAAACCTCTCTTACTCATAATAATTTAAATTTAAACCTTAATGGACCTTACCCCTTACCCGGCATTGGCCCAACTCCTTACCCCCTCCTTACCCGGCATTGGCCCACCCCCTTACCCGGCATTGGCCCACCTCCTTACCCGGCATTGGCCGACCTCCCTACCCGGCATTGGCCCACCCCCTTTCCCGGCATTGGCCCGCCTCCTTGCCCGACTTTTGGCTCTAAGGTTCTGATTATAGGGTTAGGATCCGGTTCTAGGGTTCTGGCTCTAGGGTTCTGATTATAGGGTTCTGGCTCTAGGGTTCCGGTTATAGGGTTCTGGCTCTGGGGTTCTGGTCACAGGGTTCTGGTTCTTGCGTTCTGGCTGGTTATAGGGTTCTGGCTCTCGGGTTCCGGTTATGGGGTTCTGGCTACCATCTCCAAATGCGCATCATCGCTTAATGAAAACTAGACCTGCTTTTGAGAACGACACCGAGTGAGATTATATGCCAGGCTTCTCTTTATACGACAGAAACCACCACATGATTGGTTTGATGTTAAGTGAAGGCTATGTGGCCGCGTTAGGGTGATGTGTGATTGAAAGTAAAATATTTTCCAAATGTTAGGGGACCCAATGGGCGGGCGGGTATTCCTCCGATCCTTGGAACAGCCGCTTTTCGAGTGAATGCTCGGACTTGAGATGCTGAACCCTAAACCCTAAACCCTAATCCCTAATCCCTAACCCTAATCTCTAAACCCTAATCCCTAAACCCTAAGCCCTAAACCCTAGGCCCTAAACCTAATCCCTAAACCCTAAACGCGTCGCGCCCCATGCAGGGCGCGACGCTTGCCGAGGGAGTATATGACTACTCCCGAGCTTGGCTACGCTCCATACAGGTAACCTCGGCTTGGAGAACGGCTGTATCTCCAAGCCTAACACGAACGTGCTTAAACCTGTCCAGAGCTGGACCTAGTAATATAAGGTAACTTATATATAGAGAAACCCCAAACCCTAAGTCTGACAATCCCTAATTAATTATTTAAAATAATAAATTTCTAATATTTCTAGCTATCTACCTACCTGGGAATCTGCTGGACTACCCGTAAACCCTCTTTTACCACTTATAGTGTACCGTAGTTTCCATAAGCAGGGGGACCGCGATGTAAACGGTACAGGTCATTCTACTATACTTCGTGTAAAAAGGGTTCCTCTAAAGGAATTCCCAACTTTCAGAAGACCCTCAACCCTAATCGGATCTCCCTACCTGGCCTACCTGGTTACCTACCTGAGTAAGGTTTCGAGCCTGGAAACCTTGAAAACCCAAGGTTTCGGATCTGGAAACCTTGAAGATCCAAGGTTTCGGATTTGGAAACCTTGAAAATCCAAAGTATCAGACCTGGAAACCTTGAACATCCAAGGTTTCGGACCTGGAAACCTTGATCCGGCCAGGGTTCAGCCAGCGTCCGGCCAGGGTCCGGCCAGGGTCCGGCCGAGGTCCGGCCAGGGTTCTGGTCAGAGTCCGGCCAGGGTCCGGCCAAGTCCCGGCAGGGTCCGGCCAGGGTCGAGCGGCCAGGGTCCGGCAAGATCCGGCCAGGCTCCGCGGCCAGCCAGACCAGGGTCCGGCCAGGGTCCGGCCAGGGTCCGGCCAGGGTCCGGCCAGGGTCTGGCCAGAGTCCGACCCCAGGGCCCGGGGCCGGCCAGGATCTGGGCCAGGGCCCGGCCGCCGGGGCCGGCCAGGGTCCGGGTCCGGGCAGGGTCCGGCCAAGACTCGGCCAGGGCTAGGGCAGGTTCCGATCAGGGTCCGGCCAAGGTCCGCCAGGGTCCGGCCAGGGTTCTGGCCAGATCCGGCCAGGGTCCAAGGTCTGACAGGGTCGCCTGGGGGTTGACCGTTCATTCTGCGTTTTTTTATGTATGTGTTTGCCTTAGCTCCTAAAAGCTTTAGAGCTGGGCGGCTTGGGGTGGGGCTGACACGAACGTGCTGCGTGTGTGTTGGATCTCATCCACAACTAACACACACGCAGCCAACGAATGCTATACCCTAAACCCTAAACGCGTCGCGCCCTTAACGTTGGGCGCGACGCTTGCCGAGGGAGTATGTGACTACTCCCGAGCTTGGCTACGCTCCATACAGGTAACCTCGGCTTGGAGAACGGCTATATCTCCAAGCCTTAACCGAACGTGCTTAAACCTTGCTCAGAGCTGGACCTAGGAATATAAGGTAACTTATATATTAAGCTACCCCAAACCCTAAGTCTGAGAATGAAAATATAAATTATTTAAAATAATTAATTTCTAATATTTCTGATATCTATCTACTTGGTCCGAGGTTTACGTCCAAGGTCTGAATTCAATGTCCGGGGACTTTAGGGTCTAGACCTTGAAACCTGGGTCCGGACCTCAGGGTCCGGGTCCAGACCTCAGGGTCCAGGTCCAAACTTGGAAACCTGGGTCCGGGTCCAGACCTTAGGGCCCAGACCTGGAAGCCAAGGTCCAGACCTCAGGGTCCGGGCCCAGACCAGACCTCAGGAACCAGATCCAATGAAACCTAGGTCTTCAACCTAGGGTCCAGACCTTGGATTCAGATCTTAGGGTCCAGACCTTGAAACCTAGGTCCAGACCTCAGGGTTAGGGTCCAGTAAAACCTAGTTTCCAATCTAGGGTCCAGACCTTGGGTCTAGACCTCAAGGTCCAGGCCAGGGTCCAGATCTCAGGTCTAGGCCACTCAAGCTCTAGGCCAGGGCCCAGACCTTCGGACCTCAGAGCCAGACCGAGTCCAAACCTCAGGTCCAGGCCACTCAAGGTCCACGCCAGGTCCGAGGTCTAGGTCCACGGTCTGAATTCAAGGTCCGGGTCCAGATTTTAGGGTCTAGATCTTGAAACCTGGGTCCGGACCTCAGGGTCAGGGTCCGGGTCCAAACTTGGAAACCTAGATCCAGGTCTAGACCTTAGGGCCCAGACCTGGAAACCAAGGTCCGGGCCCAGACCAGACCTCAGGGTCCAGGTCCAGTAAAACCTATGTCTTCAATCCAGGGTCCAGACCTTGGATCCAGACCTTATGGTCCAGACCTTGAAACCTAGGTCCAGACCTCAGGGTCAGGGTCTAGTGAAACCTAATCTCCAACCTAGGGTCCAGACCTTGGGTCCAAACCTCAAGGTCCAGGCCAGCATCCAGATCTCAGGTCTAGGCCACTCAAGGTCTAGGCCAGGGTCCAGACCTTCGGACCTCAGAGCCAGACCGAGTCCAAATCTCAGGTCCAGGCCATTAAAGGTCCAGATTCAGGGTCCAGACCTTCGACCAGGGCCCGGCCAGGGTCCGGTCAGAGTCCGGCCAGAGTTCGAGCCAGGTCCGGCAAGGATCTGGCCAAAGTCCGACCAGGGTCCGGCCAAGGTCCGGCCGGCCAGGGTCCGGCCAGAGTTCGGGCCAGGTCCAGGGTTCGATCAGAATCCAGCCAGAGTCCGGGCCAGGTCCGGTAAGGGTCCGGCCAACCAGTGTTCGTTCAGGGCCCGGCCAGGGTCCGGCCAGAGTCCGGGCCAGGTCCGGCAAAGGTCCGGCCAGGTCCGGCCAGGTCCGGCAAGGGTCCGGCCAGGGTCCGGCCAAAGTCCGGCCAGGGTCCGGCCAAGGTCCGGACAAGGTTCGGCCAAGGTTCGACCAGGGCCCGCCAGGGTCCGGCCAAAGTCCGGTGAGAGTCCAGGTCCGGCAAGGGTCCGGCCAGGGTCCGGCCAAGGTCCGGCCAGGGTCCGGCCAAAATCCGGCCAGGGTCCGCCCAAGGTTCGACCAGGGCCCGGCAAGGCTTCGGCCAGAGTCCGGCCAGAGTCCGGGCCAGGTCGGCTAGCCAGGGTTCGACCAAGACCCGGCCAAGACCCGGCCAGAGTCCGGCCAAAGTCCGGGCCAGGTCCGGCAACGGTCCGGCAAAAGTCCGGCCGTTCCGGCCAAGGTCCGGCCAGGGTTCGACCAGGGCCCGGCTATAGGGTTCGGCCAGAGTCCGACCAGAGTCCGGGCCAGGTCCGGCAACGGTCCGGCCAGGGTCCGTCTAAAGTCCCGCCAAGGTCCGGCCTGAGAATCTACTGAGCTACCTACGTAGCTTACCTGGTCACCTACTGAGTAAGGCTTCGAGCCTGGAAGCCTTAGAAATCCCTGGAAACCTTGAAAATCCTACGTTTCGGATATTGAAACCTTGAAAATCCTAGGTTTCGTCCTGGAAACCTTGAAAATCCAAGGTTTCGAACCTGGAAACCTTGCAAATGCAAGGTTTTGGACCTGGTAAGCTTGCCTGGGGGTTGACCGTTCATTCTGCTCTTTTTTATGTATGTGTTTGCCTTAGCTCCTAAAAGCTTTAGAGCCGGGTGGCCTGGGGTGGGGCTGACACGAACGTGCTGCGTGTGTGTTGGATTCTATCCACAACCAACACACACGCAGCCAACGAATGCTATACCCTAAACCCTAAACCCTTAACGCGTTGCGCCCTTAACGTTAACGTTGGCGCGACGCTTGCCGAGGGAGTATATGACTACTCCCGAGCTTGGCTACGCTCCATACAGGTAACCTCGGCTTGGAGAACGGCTTTCTCTGCAAGCCTTAACCGAACGTGTTTAAACCTTGCTCAGAGCTGGACCTAGGAATATAAGGTAACTTATATATTAAGCTACCCCAAACCCTAAATCTGAGAATGAAAATAATTAATTTCAAATATTTCTAGGTATCTATCCTAGGTCCGGATCCAAACCTCAGGGCCCAGACCTGGAAACCAACGTCCAGACGTCAGGATCCGGGCCCAAACCAGACCTCAGGATCCAGGTCCAGAGAAACCTAGATCTTCAACCTAGGAGCCAGACCTTGGATCCAGGCCTTAGGGTCCAGACGTTCGGCCAAATTTCGACCAGGGTCCGGTCAGAGTCCGGCCAGAGTCAGGGCCAGGTCCGGCAAGGGTCCGGCCAGGGTCCGGGCAAAGTTCGGCCAGGTTCCGGCCAAGGTCCGGCCAGGGTTCGACCAGGGCCCGGGGTCCAGACCTCAGGTCCAGGCCAGGGTCCGGACCTTCGGACCGCAGAGCCGGACCGAGCTAGGTCCGACCAGGTCTGGCAAGGTCCGGCAAGGGTCCGGCCAGGGCCCGATCAAAGTCCGGACAAGGTTCGGCCAAGGTTCGATAAGGGCCCGGCCCGATCAAAGTCCGGCCAAGGTCCGGACAAGGTTCGGCCAAGGTTCGATAAGGGCCCGGCCAGGGTCCGGCCAGAGTCCGGCCAAGGTCCGACCAGACCTTGAAACCTGGGTCCGGACCTCAGGGTCCAAGTCCAAACCTGGAAACCCATGATACCTAGGTCAGGACCTCAGGGCCCGGGTCCAGACCTCAGGTAACGGATCCGGACCTTAGGGTCCAGACCTTGAAACCTAGGTCCAGACCTTAGGGCCCAGGTCCAGTGAAACCTAGGTCTTCAATCTAGGGTCCAGACCTTAGGGTCCAGACCTTGAATTCTAGGTGAGTCCAGACCTCAGGGTCAGGGTCCAGTGAAACCTCCCTCGTCTCCAACCTTGGGTCCAGACTGTGGCTCCAGACCGTGGGTCCAGACCGTGGGCCCAGACCGTGGGTCCAGACCTTGGGTCCAGACCTCAAGGTCCAGGCCAGGGTCCAGACCTCAGGTCCAGACCACTTGCCCATTGCAGCGCCGATCTCTTGCCAGTTTTTGCATCATCATCCCATTGGAAAACGGTAGCTCCTTCCCTCCCCTTGACGTTGACGATAATGACCTCTTCCGACTTCCTGCCTGGTTTAATCAATGCACTTTCGTCCTGTGCATCGTTGCCTTCCAATGACTACAGACTAGAGAACACGGTTAGAAATGCACCGAAGACCACAAGATGATGTCTTACACGGAAACGCTGGGCAATTGAAGGTGTTCCTCGAACGTGGATAATAAAACTTCATCACTGGCTTTTCTGTCCTGTGAACGGGACCAGAAGCGAACACACGAGTCTGTGGAAGCTGTCACGAAGTCACCGTTCGGCAAGACTGCTACATCTCGATAAACAGCTGGACGCCTAATGGACTGAATAATTGTGCCATCTGGGGACATAACACGGGCAAAGCAGTCTTCCCCAAAACACGACCTGTTCCAAGGGAAAGACAGCGATACTATACAGAAAGGGGTCAGTAAAGGGCTGTGGAGGATGTGCCATACAAGACACGTGCTCCTCGCCTTCAAGAAGAGACCATAGAGGGTGCCTCGCAAGTTTTCGAATGATGTCTATCATGAAACCACTCAAGGAGCGCGAGTTCATTGCCAACAAGGAAGAACTGACGACCATGAGCGTTTGAGACCGTCTTAATCTCCACACTGTCTTTCCAAATCTTGAATTCTCCGCTATCTCGTCTTCCGCTCATTTCAATCGAAAACAGCATCGCAGTTTAAAACCCAGCTCCAACATACAGCCCCTCCTGTAATCACCATTCCGTCCTGGAGGAACAATACCTCCACGCCAACTTGATGGCCAGTCCTGTGATAGAGCTTCCTTCTTTTGCTCCAAACGATGGAAGACCTGCGAAGAACCATCCATCGATTCGATAGCTCCAGGAACCAAGCTGCTCGACGATATTGACTAGCCCGTCAAAGCAACAAGTGGCAAGATCATTTAGGTTGTGGGGCGATTGTGACACGCTATTCACCGCCTTCTCATGTCCAGGCTTTTTCTTCTGTTCACCGACAGTGAAAACCACCTGCTTTGTGATCAGCGCCCACTCTTGCAAAGCACGGCGTGTTTCTTTCATTCAGGCGGTGAACAACAACGACAAACATAAACCCTGGCTGAATGCCGTGTAGTCTCATCCCACCCAGCACCAGCCTGGGCTGCTGCCCGTTTGCGATCCATGCGCACTCGCCATTCGAGGTACACGCCGCCACGCCCTGCTGGTCGTAGGAAGCCAGGCACCGCGCAGGGCCGTTCAACCGTTCCACGCCTGACAAAACAAAGTCTCCACCAACCACATCTCCATCCTCCTTGACCTCCACGCCGCTCCAAATTGAACAAATAGAGCAATGAACGACCGCAATGGTTTCGCCTCCGCCCGCTTCCGGTCAATCCTCCTCACGGCATGCGTAAACCCGAAGTTGCGGTCTTCCGGGGTTGCGAAGGTCGGGCGTGACTTCTCCCGACCACGCACTGCGTAAAGCCGATATCTTCGATTTTACGCACTGCGTGAGCTTCTGCGCATCATCGTTCCGTTGCTTCGAACGTCGGTGTCGTCAAGTGGTTCACCTGCGCATTTGACATCCCGTTGATCAGAGAACCAATGCGAAGATGCCCATCCGGGTGAGGCGATGCCTTGCAGCGACTGCGGCGCTGCCATCAGCGAGGAATCAGCTGGATGGATCTCGAGAGCCTTTCGGCGGATTGGCCAGCGGCTGCTGAAGGTGGAACGTGGCTTGGCCTGCTCCGGCACAGCGTGTCCTTGGTCTATCGCAGCTGCACAGGCGGAAATGAAACAACTCGATGATAGATGGGCGGAAAAGGGAAGTGAAGAGATTGTGAATTGCATGAGGCGATTCGTACGGGACAATGCCAGGAGGGAATCTCGGGAGGCTGATGTCTCGCTGATGAGAAAGTTCGCTTAAACGCATTTCTATGGTATCCCATTCGTTCAGTGCCATGAGGGAATGCGATTACAATCTGATGGAGGACCTTAGGGAGCGTCTCTCGCCCGTGCTGTCTAGCAGTAAACAAATTGACGTGAGCTTGATATCGAATTCCTGGGCGGTCCTAGGCAAGCGTTGAGCTGATTGGCGAGTTTTAAGAACACAAACATTGCAAGGACATGTGGATCGTTCGCAAGGATGGATGTAGAGTATTCTGCGTTGCTCCATGCCATGGCCCCAATGATAATTTCACGGTTGAATGTTCTGGAATTGATCCTTGTTGCAGACTGCTTTTGGCATTTTCGAGTCAAAGATGAGCCGTTGTTTTTGAAACTAGCCGTTCGATCGTCTGTTCTAGCCTCTAAGTTTCGACAGGAGGCAATTCGTGACTTGTTTGTCAGCTTTTTGAGGTTGGTATCGGATCCCAATGTTTGGTGGACAGCTTCGCTCGCGTGATACGAGGAAGCATCGAGCGATTCGAAGAAGAAGACATTGCCGATGTTGCCCAATATTGTTCGTTCTGCTTTCCACCTCAGAATCGAACAATTTCCACTGCTTTTCGTGATTGGTTTGTTGTGCAGGCTGAACAACCTGGGGAAAATTGCAGAAGCAGAGATGAATCCTTCCAAAAATTGATCACCAGCATGGAGTGTTTAGGGTATGAATCTTCTCGCCGAACCTCACTGACCTCGAGGTTTCTCAAAGTAACGCGACTGAGTCTGGTCTTGTCATGGAACTCGAGCTGGACGCCAGCTTGGATGGCGGTCATGGCATTGAACCTGTCGCAGCAGAAGATCAGGGCACCCTAAGGTGCGTGGTGCCCCAACAGCTGCACCTCGAAGCCGACGTGAACCAATCGTACGAGCTTTACGTTGTCAAAGCTTAGGTGGTGTTTTGGTTGATCAGTACTCACGGTTCGTCTCCAGCTCTGCGTTTAATTTCAAATCGAAAGGATTCGACCTTCGATCGACAGTTTTTGCTCGAACGATCCCTGAACAAAACGATCGGTCCCAAGAAGAAGCTTGCTTTGAAGTCAAGAAAAAATTGTTTTGTGCACTTTGGCAATTCTCTAGGAAGAGGCGCGAGCGGGACTGTGTCTCGTGCTCCTCGTCTAGACAATTGGAAGATCTACGCACTGAAGGTGGGCCAATGCTGAGATGTTTGATCGAGGACGATCGCGATGTCTTTGAACGAGTGCATTTGGTGGTGCAGGCGATTGGCGTTCATACGCGAACTCAGAGGCATCAGCTGATCAAGGAATTGAACATGTGTTGTTCAACACAGTGTGATCAGGCCGTCAAACTTCGAGACAGCGTTCTATGAACACGGCTCGACGATCCTAGTGCTGCAGTAAATGAATCGAGGCTCGCTGGAGGACGTGGTCGAGAGCAATGGACGATTGTCTGAAGTGCTGCTACGACGAATCGCGCCCGATGCTCTGCAGGGGCTCAAGTATATGCACGATCTTCGCCAGGTAGGCAAGTAGGATTGTCTGTTCAATTGACCCCAGCAGCTTGTTAATGCTGGCCAAAGATGCACCGAGACATCAAACCGGCCAATATCTTGCTGAATAGCCGAGGCCAGGTGAAACTGACCGACTTTGGGATTTCTCGCGAGCTGGATACATTCATGAATGCCAACACGTTCGTTGGGACACAAATTTACATGAGCCCTGGCGAATTCAGTCACAATCGTATGGTGTGACCTCTGGTATCTGGAGCTTAGGGCTGTCGCTGCTGTAAGCCGCCATGGGCAAGTTCCCTTACGATGTGCGGCAGCGAGGTTTCATCCATCTCTACCAAATCATCACACGGGAACCTGTGCCTCGCCTAGACCGCTCTCGTTTCTCGGGTGTTTTCCGCAACTTGCTCTCGAGATGGTGAGTAGACCGTGTGATGGGAGGCTAGGGACGAGCACGATGACCATGCTGGATGTACCCAGTCTGATGAAGGATCCGGATGAACGATGGACAGCTCATCAATTGCTCGTAAGTGCTTGCCCAGCGTCTTGCTGGTGCTGGGGTATTGTTGTGTAATTGTTATGGAATGCTGTATATAATACCACCCATGGCTGCAGGAGATGAGCCCATCAAGAGCTGAGACGCCATGGCCCTGGGACATGGTGGACAATGGGTTAGTGCACCAGGCACGTTTGAATCTGCATCCCCGGGACGCTGAGGACCTTCGAGAAGCGGTGTATATCTTGCGAAGTCACTACCTCAACGCAGGAGGAAGGCCAGCGTACGATGGAAGCTCCAGACACGAGGCGTTGTTCGCCAGTCTCGGCGATAACATTGGACTATCGATGGAGCAGACACGAAGCCTGGTAAACTTGAGATGACTGAGTTTCCGGACGAAGACGAGCAGCATTCAGGGGTGCTGGATGAGAACAAACGGGTCGAAGCCAACCAATAAACGAGAGTAGTTGTCGCGAAGGTTGTGCTTGACATTCCCGGACCATGCACGGCATTTGACTTTCGGAGAAGCGACATGCGGAGCGTTCATTTGCGCAAATCGACTTCCAGACACCGAGACAGCAATGGCGGAATTCATGGCTGGTGCGGTAGGTGGAGCACGAAACAGAGGCAAGCGTGTTGGAATGGTTGACCAATCCTCTACGGTAGTTCGCCGGAATGGCTGGCAAGCTGATTGAGTTCCCTTTCGATACGGTCAAGGTGCTGCTGCAGGCTGATCCTGGGCGCTACGAGGGCGGGGTGGACTGTGCGAGAAGGATAATGTCTGCACGAGGCGTATGGGGCTTCTACCGGGCGCGCTACGGCTGGAAATGTCGTAGAACAGGGGTTGCTGCAGCAGGCACATCACTTACTCCACCGTGGGTCGCAGATAAGGGGTGACGCCGCCGCTGCTGGGGGCCATGGCTGAGAATGCGATCGCCTTTGGCGTGTTCTCTGCTGCAATGAGGCCTACCGAAGGCGATCACCCTACTGTACCACACGTAATGATGGCTGGTGCCATCTCGGGATGGGTCACCTCATTCTGGCTGACGCCTATCGAGCTGGTCAAATGCC